TATAATAAAATAACTACGTATGCAATAATCATCGAGATTGTTAGTATTTTTAAATACATTTTCAAATTTAATCAATTTTTCCAAGTATAGTCATTTCTTAAATTTTTATCAACTGTGTAATTTAAGCGAGTGTTAGTTTTCATTATTTCAAATAGGTATCACATATCATATACTACGTTATACCATACCCACAATATATACATGCACAATTGCATATGTCATGCGCTGTATGAATTAATTACGAACCATTTATTATTTTAATGCTATTCGCGCTTGTGACTCGATGGTTTCATATTCAATGAGTTATGAAAATGTATACGTAATGTCATCATGAAGGGCCGCACAGTCTCAGGTTTTGCTCCGCCGGGTCCTATATATGTTATTATTATTTTCAAGTCAGACCCTGTGTGACGGATACGAGACAATCACCGCGACGTAACACCCTGTATAAAATAATATATTGTGGGTGCGTATACGCGTGGGCGTTAAGGGCGGTAAGAATAGGGGGAAAAGGTAATTTCACCAGGTCTTTTTTTGGGGGGTGTACACATATTATACGTATATTACTAGTATTAGTAGTAATGTAATAGTGATATTAACGATCGAGTGAGGCGTAAAAATATTTTTAATTTCGTATAATATAGATTTCGAACATTTTTACTACACTAAGCTTTTCGGAATGCGACCGTTAAGCTTATAATAATAATACACTCTCGCGACACACACACACACACACACACACGATTATAGTATTACGGCATAATAATATGTTAATGCACACACAAAAATGTCGATATAGAGCTGTTTTACACGTTGGACGACCGTATTATAGTCATAATAATAATAATACAAGGGAAAGTCTTTGCGGGTATTTTTACTACAAAAATATGTGGGCTAGCGCTATACTTATACGACGGCGATGTCGTCGGTCGACTGCTATCTGGACGGATGTCAAAGTGTCCAGAACCGAAGAGCTTATATACCGCGCGATGAGAAAAATCTATTTACGACTCGCCAAATCTCTTCGGTATTATGTATATTATTCTAAAATCTGTGTCGCGCGTTTCGTTCTAAATTTAACGCCAACTACGGTTTATTGCTGCACTCGCCTAAGTGTCTGTGGAGTGAACCAATCTTCATCCCCTATGTTCAGTGACATTTATATTTACGGAGTGATTTATTATCCCTCCCTGAGCTTTTTTTTTTAATAATTTGTTTAAAAATGTATTTTTCTGACCTGCTAAGTAAATATATGTGTATAATAAGGTTTTTTTTTTCTTGTCACTCGTTCGAAAGTGACCTTTGTCTGTCCAGTGCGGATACTAAATCATTTTTTCCCGCCCATCGATACGTCTTGTCTAATATATCATAATATACTAACTATATAGCTGTTAGGTGATTTACTACCGTGCTGTTTTATATGAATCATTTTGCCGAATCTATTTTATACCGAGAATGGCAAGAACGGTTCATTATGCCATTATGGATTACCGTAATATCGTTATATAGTATTTTGCTCGTGAGGAAAGGCAATTTCCAGTCCCAGGCGAAATGCAGCCCTCGACTGCACCTGCCACACTGCTTTACGTCGTCCGCGACTGAAATAGCTCACTTTCCGCCCTCTCCGGGTACAATATATACTATTAAATAAATTTATTGTATTATATTTTGTTTGTTCGTATATATATGACAGTACTATAGATGTGTATAGAAAAAAAAATACAATTTTGGGCCAACCATGAACGGTACAGTGCAAAGTTAGTTTTTTTTTTTTGAGATATTTTTTCATCGCACACCCCAAATTCGTATAACTATGCCATTGACAATATCTCCTCCTGTATATGTAGGTCCACACAAACGCTCACATCCATGATATTCCAGATATTGTATTATTATAGGTACTCTTCGAAAACCAACCACGTTTTCCGCTTTTTTGCGTTATAGCTATATACGCGATGATAAACACAGCGATCCGCATCAACTCTGTGTGGAGGCGCATGCAGACTAGAAGCTAACATTTTTTTATCGGAGTGTTTCATTGTTACGTTTAAAATTTAAATATAACTTAGAGGGGCTTTACTCGTTCTCTATTTTACTTCAAATTAATTAATAGTATCAAATATGAAACAGAACCAAATGACAAAATATTTTGTAGAAATCTAAGGCGTATTTAGTGAAGGCAGTATTTAGGTATGGTAGCGCCCATTGAAAATAATTGTATTTGTGCCCCTCCCTTTCACCCAAACAAATATTGGATTAAATTTTCATTTTCATTTTTTTTGTTTTTTTTTT